GTGCAGAAGGAGGTGCAGGCAGCCCTCAAAGAGAACGCCACGCTGAGCTGCGAGGTGGCCCAGGAGAAGACCGAGGTGAAATGGTACAAGGAGGGGAAGCTGATCACCTCGAGCAAGAAGTTCAAGGTGGAGTCAGAGGGCAGATCGCGGCGGCTGGTGGTGGGTCAGGTGGAAAAGAAAGATGCTGGCGAGTACACCTGCGAGGCTGCTGGCCAGAAGCTGACCTTCAAGGTTGACGTCACAGGTAAGCCTGATGCTCTTTTAAAATTTCGGTAGAGGATAATCAAGTAATCACTGTGATTCCATAGTGCATGTTGACTCAGTTGCAATAGTCTGGGCTCTATTGCAGCCTGTAAAGTTTATCTGATTTGCTGTGCGCTGGGTCTGGTATACACTGTAATAATTGGTCTTAACATGTCACAAAGGCTTATCATGTTATTAACTAGTCTATATAATAATAATTGCAGAAATGAATATAATAAAAATAATAGCATCTTGTTCAGATTTTTCCCATTCGTGGGATCCCAAAGGGTGGTTCTTGTGCACTGAATCTCTTGGTGTACACAAGCATGTGTAATGTGACAGGAGTGTGAATTTTGCATGTAGCATGTCATGGGAGGAACACCATGAGCTCCTCCTGGTAGCATGTTGTCCCGTTTACAATGCCTTTGAGTCGGAAGTCACAATCAGATAAGTGAGTCTGATACTTGTTGTGTGAGACGTGATAGGACTGAGTACTGGAACTACAAGTAAAATAGACTATCTGTAAATTAAACACAAGGAACAAAGGATTGGCTTTGCCAGGCCAGAAGTATAGGAATAAATTAAGAACCATCAGTATGAGGAATAAAGACTTTTCCAGAATTTTCAGAAGAAATTTGGAAAGACACTGATGAAGTACTGATGAAGGTACTGACCTGGGCTGTTCCAGACATCAGGCATTTCCAAGCACAGTGCTGGACTGGCAGTGGTGAGCCTGAAACCAGTTCTGTTGAGAGGAATTGCTGAGACTTGATGAGTGGTAATTGGTAAAAAAAGTACAGATGAAATGAAAACTAGCCCAGACTGTTAGAAAAAAAGGTGGCTAGTTAGATAGCAATGAAATAGGGTTTTTCTTCTGCATTTGTTTCAGCTGTTTCTTCTGTGTCAGGCTGTAAAGGCTCTAGTTATCACAACAAAGTTTCCCTCAGAGTCATATTTTCTGGAAAACACGGAAGTACTTGCTCATGTGCTTTTCTGTTATAGTATTTCAATCCTGAAACGAAAGAATCATTCAAAAATCCTTTTCTTGTTAGATTTCCACACCTGATTCTAAAAACTGAGAGGCTGAAATATGTTCTGTCCCTTGCAATTTTCGCAGCAGAATTTATAGAGATGAATTGAAAATGCAACACTTTTTTGAACTCATGCTATTGGATATTTGAGGTCATAACCTTCTGAGATGCTTGTAATACTCCCGCTGCATGCTAAATGCCCCTTTGTCCTGAAAGATTCCTAGCACTTGGTCTTTTAAAAGTGGATTCAGGAGGTTCCCAAGCTGTTTTAAGCATGTGATGTCGATGGGAGTGTTGAGTACCATGCATGAGTACCTTGTCACCACAATCCTGGGCTAACTGACTGCTATAGGGAAATTGTAGTCCTTTGTTGTTTTGACAGTCACGTTTATGACAGTGGAAGAGACCATAAAGAGTGTTCCAGAAGCTGACAGTAGTGTGTTGGGTTAAGATGGAAAACCGAAACAGGAGACCCATCATTTCTGCTATTACATGTTGTAGTTATATCCTTGATAATTCACTGTAGGTGTTAATCAAAAGATATTTTAGAGGGTTTGGTGATGTGCAGGAAAGATAATCTGTGAAGGTTTCTGTATTTGACATTTTTTGCATGCTTGCAATCATGGGACTAATATCAAGGAGCTTCTTGGTCCTTTCCCTTCCTGGGCTCTTACTTCCCTAATTTCCACACTGCAGTTTGCTCATGCAGAAAGGTAGATATTGCACAGTGAAAACATTTGGTCTTGACATCAGTGGTAACCTAAATGTTTTCCAAGCCTGTGCACACAGATGTGTAAGATGGTCTCTTTAACCCCTCTGTCAAATATTCTCTCTTTTTTCTGCACTCAGAGCCAAAACCTGCATTTATAAACCAGGAGAAGGTCCAGAAAGAGGTGCGTGCTGTCCTGACAGAAAATGCCACCCTCAGTTGTGAGGTAGCACAGGACACAATGGAAGTGAAATGGTACAAGGATGGAAAATTGCTCATTTCCTCCAGAAAATTCAAAATAGAGACTGTGGGCAAAACCCGTCGTCTGGTTGTAGAGCAGCTGGAGAAGAAAGATGCTGGAGAATACATCTGTGAGGCTGCAGGCCAGAAGCTGACCTTCAAGATTGAACCTACTGGTGAGTTTTCACTTTGGGGGCGCTATACAGCTTTGCTGGGTGGCTAAGATGAATAGTGGTTATTCTGTACCTAGTGGCTGCGGTGCAGCTACGATGTCCCCTGGAGCAACATCAATGAACCACATTGCCCATTAATTTGGCCTTTTGAATCTAGCAATGTTGATGAGGAGAAACTACTTGAAGACTTTTTGACTAATGGAAAGCTATATGGTTTTTTTGTTTATCATCTCCTTCACATACCTTACCATACCACCTTTTCCAGTGATGGGTAGCTGAAAATGAGCTGGAAGTGGGAAGTTTTGAAACACAGAGACAGACCTATGGGAAAAGGCCACTAAGAAAAACTAGATGGCCGCTGTGTGTGTCACAGAACTGCCCTGTTCTGGGGCAAAGCGTTGTACCAGGTAGAGGAAACTGGGAGTAAAGCAAACAGATAAGAGAAATGGCTGTAAGTTCAGGATAAGCATATTAATAATTCTTCTTAAATAGATCTAGAGTCCTAAAAATGGGAGAGGAAAGAATTATGTAGGTAATTTTGCCATTAAGAAGCAAACATTTTGGGAGTGGCAGATAAAATGTATATTTCCATTTCCTTTTCCTTGCTCCTCTGATAAGCAGAAGCTCTGAGTTACCAGAGAGATTATTTTCTTTCTTCCCACTCAGCAAAAGATCATACCAGTCACAAGTATTCATCCATATTTCCTGGGTTATTACAGATTATGCTATGAACTGGAACCCTATTGTGAGAAGAGACAATAATTTAAAATTGCTATGTTAAAACCTCAAAATGAAGCTATTAGTTTGTCCTTTTTAATGTATTTCCTAGAACCAGAGGCTAAATTTGAAAACAAGGTTGTCCAGAAGGAGCCCCTCATTGTTCAAGAACATGAAAGCATCACTCTGACTACTTCAGTAACGCCTGAAACTGCTCCGGTCAAGTGGCTGAAGGATGGAATGGAAATCAAGGCGAGCAAGAAGTATGAGATCAAGAGCAAGGGGGCTTCCCGGACTCTGACAGTGAACCTGTCTGAGAGCACGGACACTGCTGTGTACACCTGCTGCACAAAGAGTGACAAGCAGGAATTCCAAGTGCAGGTGAAAGGTGAGCAGGGAGCAGCCCACAGGTCATGTCCCTGCCTAACAGCTCCGTTTCCCTTGCAGGAGGGTGGAGATGAAGGAGTCTAAACTCCCTCTAAAACTGTTCCAGGCTCAAGGCTTGAATTGCTGTTGGTGCTACTATGGCTCCCCTTCCATGGGTTAGCAAAGCTCCTCGTGCTTCCAAAGACTCGGTTTATGTCCTGTGCTGGATTTTAACTTGAGGGAACAAGAAGGCCTCCGACGGGTGCATTTCCTTTTGTTTGGTCGCCACAGTCATCGCACCGTTCCTATCACCTCCTAGCCCAGTGGCTGGGGAGGAGGCAGAGCCTTAGCTCTTGCCTGCTCTGCTCACCAGCATGACAAAGCCGATGAGGAGGATGTAGAGGATGTAGTGTGAGGATCAGGTTTGTGAGTTAGTCCCATGGGGGAAGCAGGGCCTGAACTGTCTCCTCTGTTCCTGGGACAGTGCACAGGGATGCTGCTCCCTTGTCAAGGCTAAGGCTATAAATTAATAGTCTCATCAGAAGGATGGAGTACAGCTGGTCCTCAGAGGGAGATGAGAGGGGTGATGTCCAGGATCAAAGGGCTAATTCAGCCCCTTGGGCCCACTGCTGCAGTATCTGCCCCCAGGTGATAATGGCCATGTCCCTTTGCTGTTCCCAACAGCAGAGCATCATGAGTCCAGCCAAAGATAGAAAGGTGTGTGCAGTGCAATGGCAGTGAGACACGCAAGATAGGGTTCATCTGCTTTTTTCTCAAACATCTACAGCTGAGGTGCACCCCCTCAGCTCCCTTTGGAGTCAGTGGAGAGGAATGATTGCTAGCAGGCCACAATTCACATGACCTATTGAAACATCTACTTCAGGATGAGATGAGTCACACCCTGGATTCATCTGACTGCACTGTCTGTGTCTCCAGGGACACCAGAGACAAAGGTGTATGGGGCTTATGCCTCTGCATATTTTTATATCTAGTCAAGCTCGCTCTGATGTGAAAGTACAGATGATCTCATTTGGTAGAAGATTAGAAAGAAAGGAAGGCAAAACCCAAGCCTGTTTAAGGTACTGTTCTTGCTTTACAGAGTAGTATTGATAATAACAAAATTCCATGTCAGAGGAATCTCCCTAAGTTTCCAAATCTCTGGTTTGTGTCTGTCTCCCCGATTCCCAAATCCATCTGTTTTTTTAAGTCAGCTAGAACACATTTCTCATCTTTTCCTTTTTCATCATTTTTCCCTCTTCTGTATCTCAGAAATCCCAGTAAAGTTTGCCAAAAAACTGGAAGCTGTTAATGCCGAGCTTGGAGGCAGTGTTTCTCTGACCTGTGATGTGAGCCATGCCAAAGGCAAGGTGGTATGGCGCAGGAATGGAGTTGAGATCAAGCCCAGCAAGCGTTTCCAGATTAATGAGGAGGGGGTAAAACGAACCTTGACAATAACAGGGATCCGGGCAGAGGATGAAGGAGAATATTCCTGTGAGTCCAGAGATGACAAGAGCAGCATTATGATCACCCCCAAAGGTATGTCTCTAAAACTGAATAGTGAAAATGTGAAGGGATACTTGTCTTTCTTCCTCAGCTGTTAAAACCCTGCAAAGTGTTTTTGCTGTCTCCTGTCATGAACAATGAAGTATGAAACTCTACTTCCTCTTTGAATGTCAGTGAAACCTTTATTTTTGAAGATCAAGATGATCTTGAGACCTGTTGAGGTCAGGTCTCTTGGTATGTGGGCAAATTGACCTTGACATTGCATCTGAGGCTGAAATTGAGGATCTTAAATTTAAGCCAGGATTTTTTTCTTCTATGTTTACCTCTTTCTTCAGGCACCTTTATATATAAAACTTAGGTGAGAGATAGCAGAAGTGTTGACCCATTGTTTTGATCACTTACTCTAAATAATATATATTGATCCTTTTGATAAAATCATTGAGTCTGCCTGCTTTTTAAAGGCATTCACACCATGTCTCAAAGATGTGCTCCTAAGTGTTTTCTTCCTTTCCATCAGCACCCAGAGTGGTGAAATTCATTGCAAATCTCAATAGCGTGGTCTCTGAGGAAGGAAAAGAGGCTGTGTTCAAGTGTACCGTCTCTCCCAGTGATGCTGTGGTTACATGGCACAGGAATGGTGTCAAGATTGAAGCTAGCAAGAAGTATGTGATCTTGCAGAAAGACAGCAACCACAGCCTCACAATCACTGATCTGACGGTGGAAGATGCAGCTGAAATCTCTGCCAATGCTGAGGGTGTAGAAAGCAGAGCCAATCTCAAGGTCCGAGGTAAGAGACAATAATGCCCCTCTGACAGGCTGTCACTGATGCTATGGTCTCTGTTTTATATGGCCTTCCCCTTCATGAATTATATTAGCAGTAGGGGACTGCTGCTTTCAGTTTATTAAATAAAGATGCCCAGAATGCATGGGCCACCACTTTAATTACTGTTGGTAGTCCATTTTCTGGATCCTCCACATTTTCGCTAATATCTTTTGTCTTTTGGCAGAGGCCTCGGTCTCATTCAAGAAGAAACTGGAGCCCAGAACAGTTGAAGAGAGGGACACAGTTACCCTGGAGGTGGAGCTGACCAAGCCTGCAGAGGTGAAGTGGATGAGGAACAAAATTGTGTTGAAGCCCAGTGAAAAAATAGAGATCAAAGCTGAGGGAACGAAGCATATGCTGGTGGTTAAGGACATCTCCTTTGCAGAAAGGGGCTTCTACTGCTGTGAGAGTCCTGATGACAAGACCCAAGCCAAGATTAATGTGGAAAGTAAGTTGAATGGTCTCCCATTCTGTAAGTCCCCTGGACAGGGTTTGGAGATGGATTCTGGTCTCTTCCATAACAATTACCAGTCAAAGCACTGAGAGAAGATGGAGGCAAGGGCAGTACACAAAGACCAACTGACTGTTTTCTGTTGCCTCCATCTCATTCCACCAGCTTTCAGTCATGGTGTTGACTATTAAGCCTCTTAGGTCATTCTTTTCCCTCCCCTGCGATTTCTCTCTCCCTGGTTGACTCTATTTTCTCCATCTTAGGGCTTTTAGCAAGCTATTCAGCCATCTATTGCCCTAATTCTTCTCTGTAAAGTGCCTCTTTCAGAATGTCTGGTTATGTTCAGTCAGGGTTAGAAAAACTACAAGAGCAATCTTCTATCCATGAGTGCTGCCCTTTCAACTAAACTAATGGTCTCTTGGCTGTAGCTCTGCCCTTTTATCCTCTTTCCTACATCCTTTTGTCATGATTGTTACAAGATAAATGAAGACAGGATTTAAGCACTTAAGAGCTGTCTAATTTTGTCTTTAAAGTCCCTACCACCAATTGGTGCTGTATAAGTCATAAATAATAGGTAAGGAAGGACTTGATAACAGATTTCAGGTACGTAAAAGGCTGTTGTGAAGTGGAAGGGAACAATCTGTTCTCCATGCAGAAATAAGGACATGAAATAATGGGCTTTGATTGCGATGGGAAAGATCCAGGTTATACAATAAAAAAGCTTTCTAGTGGTTGGATGACTGAACAGAATCATCTGAAAAGGTTTTGGAGCCTCCATCATGAGTTTAAGGAATGGTTCGTGAAATATCTGTCTGGAATTACATAAAGAGCTGAGGATGTCCTAGAGCAGGGGAGAAGGGCTAGATGACCTTTCTAGGTCTTTCCAGCCTTATGTTTTGGTGATTATATGATGATGTGAATACATGCTTTTACATAAGATGAGCAAACTGATTTGATGCATTGATTCAGATCTTTGTTTTAAAACTTCATCAGTGCATGGAAGTTTAGGGCAAGTTTAAAACAGGTAGAGTTTTGAGTAATTGTGACTTTACACTGAAATAATGGGGAATTTTTGGATTTGGGTTATTCAGACTTCTTTTTGTTGTTTTGGACTTAGTTAGACCCAGAAGAATAGGAGTCTGAACCCAGGAAAATATAAACAGAAACTTCTGCAAAGTAAACAAACTCTTATAACTCATCTCTAATCTGCTTAGCTGCAGAATAGCCTTATGGTCCCGATCTGTAATATTTCTTATGCATACTGACTGCTTAAGTTTAACTCCTGCTGCAAGACTTTGTGTATATCATTAACAACATTATCAGGAAAAACATCACCGGTGCCTCTCCCTACCCCTCTGTGCCTTTTCTCTTTCTGACTGGAAAGGCCTAAGCTTGCAAATAGGTTGGACACGGTGAAATGATTGGCAGGAGTCCCATGGACTCTTGTGAGGCTGGAATCTTTGCCATTGTCCTTTGTTTCCTCATTCTGTGCAGCTGTGTGTGCCCTATAGCTAAAAGCTAGTTTTTCTCCAGGACAACTGCGATTTTGTGTCATTCCTCAAGTTAATCCACCTTAGTCTCTCTGCGAGTACAGATGTGTTTTTGTTACGCCCCTGGTGCGCAGGGGAAGCTGGAAGAGTGGGATGACGTCTGGGATTGTTTGCCTGACAGCAGACTGACAGTCAAAGTTATCAAAAATTGGTGACAAACTGTCTAATAGAGAGCAGGCTCTGTCTAACTGCTTTCATGCACTGTTAAGACAGCTTCATCTTCAAAATCTTCTCGGCTGACAGCTGTCAAAAACCTCTGCTTTAGCATCTAGATATGGGGTAGTTATTAGTTCTAGTGGCAATTACACACCTTTTTTTGAAACAAAGTAGCTATGGAAAGAAAAAAAAAAAGCAGGCACTAACAGTGACTAGCAACTAGTAGATTAGGCTTGGATTTATGCAGTCTAAATAAAGCACATCACTTCCAGGTCCTTTGGTAGCCAAAAGAGAGAAAAAAGGGACCTCCAGAGGGTGTTTTAAATCTTAGATGCACTAAATTAGGCACACTTAGATGCACAGTTCTAGGCAGTTCAAGGAGGTTCCTGCAGAGGATTGATGATAATTTCTTCACACAGGTGCTGGAGACGGCAACAAGGAGAGGTGTGCTGCTAAACCTTGTGCTAACAAAAAAAGAAGGTCTAGTTGGAGATGTGAAGGTTGGGGGCAGCCTTGGCTGCAGTGACCGTGAGATGGTGGAGTGCAGGATCCTGTGAGGAGGAAGCAGGGCAATAAGTAGGATCGCAACCCTGGACTTCAGGAGAGCTAACTTTGGCCTCTTCAGGGACCTACTTGGAGGAATCTCGTAGGGTAGGGCCCTAGAAGGAAGAGGAGGTCCAGGAGAGCTGGTTAATATTCAAGCATCAGCTCTTCCAGGCTCAAGATGGGTGCATCCCTCTGAGTAAGAAGTCCAGCAAAGTGAGCAGGAGACCTGCATGGATGAGCAAGGAACTCCTGACAAAACTCCAACAGAAGAAGGAAGCATGCAGAATGTGGAAAAGGGGACAGGCCACTTGGGAGTAGTATAGGGACACTGTCAGAGTGTGCAGGGATGCAACAAGGAAGGCCAGGGGCCATTTGGAATTCAATCTGGCAAGGGATGTCAAGGACAACAAGAAGGACTTCTTTGACACTGTTGTGGGGGTTTACTACAGGCCACCTGATCAGGAGGAAGTCATCGATGAGGCCTTCTACAGAGAGCTGGAAGAAGCCTCACGATCACAGGCCCTGGTTCTCATGGGAGACTTCAACCACCCTGACATCTGTTGGGAAGACAGCACAGCTAGGCACAAACAGTCAAAGAGGTTCCTGCAAAGCATTGATGATAATTTCTTGACCCAGGTGGTGGAGACGCCAACGAGGAGAGGTGCAATGCTAGACCTTGTACTAACGAACAAAGAAGGTCTAGTTGGAGATGTGAAGGTTGGAGGCAGCCTTGGCTGCAGTGACCATGAGATGGTGGAGTTCAGGATCCTGCGAGGAGGGAGCAGGGCAATGAGTAGGATTGCAACGCTGGACTTCAGGAGAGCTGACTTTGGCCTCTTCGGGGACCTACTTAGGGGAATCTCCTGGGGTAGGGCCCTAGAAGGAAGAGGGGTCCAAGAGAGCTGGTTAATATTCAAGCGTCACTTCCTCCAGGCTCAGGATCAGTGCATCCCTCTGAGGAAGAAGTTCAGCAAAGCGGGCAGGAGACCTGCATGGATGAGCAAGGAACTCCTGGCCAAACTCCAGCAGAAGAAGGAAGTGTACAGAATGTGGAAAAGGGGACAGGCCACTTGGGAGGAATACAGGGACGTTGTCAGAGCGTGCAGGGATGCGACAAGGAAGGCTAAGGCCCAGTTGGAATTAAATCTGGCAAGGGATGTCAAGGACAACAAGAAGGCCTTCTTCAAATACATCAATAGCAAAAGGAAGACTAGGGAAAACGTGGGCCCGCTGCTGAAAGGGGCGGGTGCCCTGGTGACAAAGGATACAGAGAAGGCAGAGTTATTGAATGCCTTCTTTGCTTCTGTCTTCACTGCTAAGGCCAGTCCTGAGGAATTCCAGACCTTGGAGACAAGAGAGGAAGGCTGGAGAAAGGAAGACTCTCCCTTGGTTGAGGAGGATCGGGTTAGAGATCTTTTGTCCAAACTTGACATCCACAAATCCATGGGCCCCGATGGGATGCACCCACGAGTGCTGAGGGAGCTGGCGGATGTTATCGCTAGGCCTCTCTCCATCATCTTTGAAAGGTCCTGGAGATCAGGAGAGGTGCCTGAGGACTGGAAGAAAGCCAATGTCACGCCAGTCTTCAAAAAGGGCAAGAAGGAGGAGCCAGGAAACTACAGGCCTGTCAGCCTCACCTCCATCCCGGGAAAGGTGATGGAACAGCTCATCCTGGAGGTCATCACTAAGCATCTGGAGGACAAGAAGGTGATCAGGAGTAGTCAGCATGGATTCACCAAAGGGAAATCATGCTTGACCAATCTGATAGCCTTCTATGACAGAATGACTGGCTGGGTAGATGAGGGCAGAGCAGTGGATGTTGTCTTTCTGGACTTCAGCAAGGCTTTTGACACTGTCTCCCATCACATCCTCCTAGGTAAGCTCAGGAAGTGTGGGCTAGATGAGTGGACGGTGAGGTGGCTTGAGAACTGGCTGGATGGCCGAGCTCAGAGGGTTGTGGTGAATGGCGCAGAGTCAAGTTGGAGGCCTGTGGCTAGTGGTGTCCCCCAGGGGTCAGTCCTGGGCCCAGTCTTGTTCAATATATTCATCAATGACCTGGAGGAAGGGACAGAGTGCACCCTCAGCAAGTTGGCTGATGATACTAAACTGGGGGGAGAGGCTAACACACCAGAAGACTGTGCTGCCATTCAGAGGGACCTGGACAGGCTGGAGAGGTGGGCGGAGAGGAACCTCATGAAGTTCAACAAAGGCAAGTGCAAGGTCCTGCACCTAGGCAGGAATAATCCCATGCACCAGTACAGGCTGGGGACTGACCTGTTGGAAAGTAGCTCTGCCGAGAAGGACCTGGGAGTGCTGGTGGACAACAAGTTAAACATGAGCCAGCAGTGTGCCCTTGTGGCCAAGAAGGCCAATGGGATCCTAGGGTGCATTAGGCAGAGTGTTGCCAGCAGGTCGAGGGAGGTGATCCTGCCCCTCTATTCAGCCCTGGTGAGGCCTCACCTGGAGTACTGTGTCCAGTTCTGGGCTCCCCAGTACAAGAGAGACATGGCACTCCTGGAGAGAGTCCAGCGGAGGGCTACCAAGATGATTAGAGGGCTGGAGCACCTCTCCTCTGAAGAAAGACTGCAAGAGCTGGGCCTGTTCAGCCTGGAGAAGAGAAGATTGAGAGGGGATCTCATCAACGTGTACAAGTATCGGAAGGGGGAGTGTCAAGAGGATGAGGCCAGCCTCTTCTCCGTGGTGCCCAGCAACAGGACAAGAGGCAATGGGCAGAAACTGAACCACAGGAAGTTCCATCTGAACCTGAGAAAAAACTTCTTCACTGTGAGGGTGACAGAGCATTGGAACAGGTTGCCCAGAGGGGTGGTGGAGTCTCCTTCGCTGGAGATATTCAAAACCCGTCTGGATGTGATCCTGGGCAATATGCTCTAGGTGACCCTGCTTGAGCAGGGAGGTTGGACTAGATGATCGCCAGAGG